AAAATGAAAACCAATACTTCAGCCAAAAAAAAACAATATCCATTCCTAAACAAATAGATCTCTAGACCACTTTTTTTAATCGGAGTAGTAGTTATAATGAAAGAAAATAATTCGCCAATGTCAAAATAGAGGTGGATTTTGACCTAATAAGAATAAACTTGTGAAAAAGTAATTAAATATGACATGAGGCTATCAAATTCATAATTAAAATACTAAATAGCCTGTCAATCTCAACAAAAGCAATAATTTGTCCTGATAAGCAATAACATAATCGGAGATTACAAATTTAGTCAACGTCAATATATTGTAATTAGATGATGCTATGAAATTCACATTAAAATCAAATTGATATATGATTATATTCACCCCTGGCATTTTTCAAACTTTATATTTTTGGGTGTGGTCATAGGTGACGATTCAAATACTAAAAATTCTTTAATTAACTGGCATGCTTATGTCAAAATAGTTTTTCCTTTTATTCTCTAAAATAAATCGATCATTAACTAGTTCGTAATTTTATATTCTACAGACAAAATAGTAAGTTGGAAGGCCATTTGATAAATTAAACTCACCTTTCAAAAGAGTCCTTTTATAACTTTTTTTTATTAAAACAAAAGTACGTTTTTCAACTCTAAAAAAAATATCTTTGAAGCTTTTTGATAACAACTATCCACTATGTTCATTTTTATCGAAAAAGCTTATGTTATTTATGCATTATAGATTTTTTATACTATAATTTACAATACTGTAGGGTTTTTGAAACCCTAACTCCTACAAGGCCTTTCTTCCACGTTTACGTTTTTGTACCATTAACTTGAGGCTGTCGTACGAACCCATACAGTATGTCAGAGGCATCGACGAGTGAAGAAAATCGTAACTGTTGTATTCGTCTGGGGGATCTGAACGATGTTGATTGTCACTGTTGTGTTTTATTTAACAGTGCTATAATAGACAATAAAGATAATTATCCTCCTGATGCGCGCTTATACCTATATATATCGATAGTATTTGGGTTCATAACTACTGTTTCTGTTGCAGTAGTAGTAAGAAAATTAGCTTACGATCAGATACCAGCTAATGGTAATCGCTGCAATTCGTCCTGTGGTTATATGACCATCCCTATTTTCTTTTTAGTTTTGACCTTGTTATTTTGTTTCTTACATGTGCCTAAGAAGAAAGTAATTTCTTGGTAGAAGGAGAAGCTTATTCAAATACTAAAAATAGGAATTAGCGATGGATAAATTCTGTAGTTAAACAGAAAAATTCGTCGCTAATCCTATTGAGCGGATAAATTTTCAAAAAATTCTGTTAGTTGTGAGCGATTAACAATAGATTAGCGACAAAGTTCGTAGCTAATTTTAGTTTTTTTATTGATTAGAAGCTATCCAACTTGTTTCCTTTATTAGTATTAATAATTCTAATGTTTTCATTTATATGTTGTTTCATTTAATATCAAGTGTTTCTCTATGTTGTTTAATTATAATAACAAGTGTTTAGCGATTTCCGAGAGAAAAAAATAGTTTAACTTCTGTGCAGCAACATAAAATCGTTGAAGTTATATATTTGGTTATCAAATAAAAAGTTGTAGTTACATATCCATGATAAATGGAATTAGTAAGTTAAAATATAAGGAAATTAACCTTCTATAATAAATTAAATTGCATTTATAGTGTAAAAATATTATTATATTATAAGTAAATATAAGTTAACTCCACCTCAAAATAGGTTCTCGTGTTGTATTCCTAGTTTAGGATTAATCAGTTGATTTTCTAACTCTATCTTATTTCCGTCCCCCCGTGTTGCATCATATCTAAGAGATTCCTCGGTTCGGGCCAAAGAAACAATGTCACTCGATCATTATCAAATTGACTGCAATCTTTTTCTGTCCGTGAAGATTCCACCAGAGCGCCATTGAAAATATTTAGATTTAGATAGTTATGAAGACAAGAGTATTTTAACAAATAAGTGTTTATAACTCTATGTTTCATGTAATTATTGCAATGGAAATATTTAAATTACTAGTTAGCTATATTCTTATTGTTTTTTTGTCAGAAAAATATTCTCCCTCTATAATGCAACGATTTCTAGAAGAAATAATGATAATCAACAAGTCTACGTTTAATTAAACAACATGTCAATCTCACCAAAAGTAGTAGTTTGTCCTGATAAGCAATAACATAATCGCAAATTTTAGATTTAGTCAACATCTATATAATTATTAGAGGATGCTATGAAAGTTGCACATAAAAATCAAATATGATAAAATTAAAAAATTGACAATTCATCACTCCCATATTTCAAACCTTTTTTTTAATGTAATTAAAATAAATCGATTCGTCATCAGTAATAATTCACTATTTTTCAAGAGTTATTTTGCAAGAAAAAAAATACCTTTTTCCTTAGATTACATTTTCTCATCCTCTTGTCAGTTTATACGCACTTTGATTATTCCATCAAATGCATGTTACATATCTCCCATCACCTACACAAAATCAGAGTGTCCAAAGTCCAAATTAAGAACTTTGGGCATTTTAGAATCTCTTACATTACCAAGACGGGACAAGTGTATTTTATCTAGCCAAAAAAATTTATTAAAAAAGAAGAAGAAAAAAGCATAAAATTATATTATAAGAAACCTCCAAATATTGAATAAGAATTTTGTGAAATAGTCTCTAACTAGTACCCTCTAGCCGGCCAAGACAGCCGGCCATCCTATTTTTTGCTCTTACTACACTCCATATCAATAAATATATAAATGCATTTTTATAGCTCTTGAAATTTAACCAACAATTACAACCTTCTTTCTCATTGTTTCACACAAAACCCTATATTCACTCCCCTCACACATCACTCCTATTATTCCAAAAGTACGAATGTGTTGGTAGGACATAGCAGGTATTCTGTAAATTAGCCGAGGTGCACACGAGCTAACCCGAACATCACAGTTATTAAAAAATTGAGGCAAGTTGGGGCATATTCACTCTCCTCTCACAACACTCCTATTATCCCAAAAGTACCCGATATTTATATTGGTGGGAGGTAACAAGTATTCGTAAAATTAGCTGAGGTACACATAAGCTGGTCTGAACACCACGGTTATAAAAGAAAATGAGGCAAGCAGGGGCATATTCAGGAATTCTTTCAGGAGGAATATCAAAGACAGGGCCACACTCATTACCATTAGCAAGAATCAAGAAAATAATGAAGAAATCAAGTGATGATGTGAAGATGATATCTGGAGAAGCTCCCATTATTTTTTCTAAGGCATGTGAATTATTCATTGAAAAACTCACAAAAAGGGCATGGATTATAACCATGCAAGGGAAAAGAAGAACTCTACATAAAGAAGATGTTGCATCTGCTGTTATAGCAACTGATGTCTTTGATTTCCTTGTTAATTTGGTTACTGAGTCTAATGTTGCTGATAATAAGTGTGAGGTGAATGAGGATTCTCAAGTTATTGTGGAGACATAGGTAAAGACAGGCGGAGCCGGGATTTAAAGTTACGTGTTCGAAATTCTAATTTTATTTAAGTTACTAAGTTCTAAATTAATAATTTGTATACATTAAATGAACTTACTGAATTTGGCCGAACCCATAAACTGTATTCTAGCTTAGCCCCTGTGTCAAGGACACACACTAAGGTTTTTAAAGATGATAACAACATTTATGTTTTATTCTTAAATAAGCTGGGATCAGTTTTTTATATATATATATATATATATATATATATATATATTAAATAATTTGAATTGTCTACGTTTGTTGTTGATATTTGCTTTATCAGACTCATTATATATATGTCCAATTTTATGTTGTTCGAATTCTTCGAAAATGTTGATGGGTGTGTATCTGATCGTCCGCAATTAATACATTTTTGGAGGATTTGACACGGATACGACAACTATTTTAAGAATCCGCGCAACATAGGTCCAATTAACAAAACAAAAAAATGGACTATGCTAGTCTTCAAAAGTATTAACCTATCTTGTAGTTTCATATAGGTCCAATTGAATCGTTTATTGCTTTTATTATAATGTAGTAGATTGTTTCGAAGTACGTTACAGAAAAAAAAAATTACGTTATGCAAATTGACAGTGTAAATATTTGGGACTGAAGAAGAATAATCAAAAAATAAGAATTGAACTTACACTTGTTGTGTAAAAAAAATATTTGGATCGCATTTTTTACCTTTTTCCTAAAAGATATTTCCTTCTTTACTTTTACCTTTTTCCTTTTTTTTTTCCCCATGCATTATCCAAATTTATCATTATCATATACTCCATATATTTAAAATTTGAGCATCATCTAATAATATTTTGATGTTGACTAAATGTACAATCTACGATTACGTTATTGTTTAACACGATTATAACTTTTGGTGAGATTGACAGGTTATAATTAGTTTAAAGCAGCTTGTTGGTTATTATATCTTCGGGAAAGCGTTGAATTAAAGAGAGATTAATGTTTGAAATTTTTAACTGTATTTATCTTACAATAGAAATTAATAGAATGTTTAATTTATGATTTTATTCTTAAAAAAGTTCCTACGTGGGTCTTAATAGGAGCAAAATGCTATAAATAAGAGTATTTCGTATTTATTAGTAGAAGAATTAACCCAAATAGCCGCCCACCCAAACACTTAAACTAAAAATAGACGATTGAGGTATAATATATGTATTATATATGTATAATCTATGTATATGACTAAAAAAATAAATAATGAATATCACCGGTTATTTGTGTAAAGATCCCGAACCGACACCTATTGTATGAGAAACGACTCCCAACCGAGTTAACTATCTTTTTTAAAGTTTCTCTGTCACATATATACTAAATAAAGTTTAATTTTTATTTTCATTTTCACCTTCAAGCTCCCAACTGAATTAACTACCTTTTGCATGTCCTTAATCTTAGGCAAATTTTAGCTAATCCATTCATTTATATAATTGGTTCTTAGCCACTAAAAAGAACAATAAATCAAGTAATTCTTCATTGAGTTAAATATTCATGAGCTTTTATTCCATTATAACTTTGGGGATCTGAGATTATTCATATGTAAATGATCTCAAATCTCAATTCCCAAATAATACAACAAACTTAAAAAATCAAAATAAAATCATGTCTTTTTCAGGAACCCAAACAAAATGCAAGGCATGTGATAAAGCTGTGTATGCTGCAGAAGTGATCTCTGCAAGTGGTGTTAATTATCATAATACTTGTTTCAGATGTAGCCATTGCAATGGACGACTTGCTGTAAGATTTTACAATTATTTCACTTCTTTAATATTTCATGAATTTTTATTGGGAAATGTTATGGTACGGCATGATGCAAAGATAAAGTTATCTCTATGTGATTTATAGGTCACGGATTCGAATCGTGAAAGTAGCCACTAATATTTGCATTAGGGTAGACTGACTACATCATATCCCATAAGGTGCGGCCCTTCCCCAGGACCCTATGCAAACGTGAGATGCCTTGTGTATCGGGTTGCCCTTTTGTTGTAATATCAAATTAATTTGAAGGGGATCGGAGCCTTGGAGCAATGATAAAGTTGTTTATGTGTGACCTATAGGTTACGTGTCCGAGCCGTGTAAGCAGACACTAGTGCCTGCATTAGGGTTGGCTGTCTACATCATACCCCTTGAGGTGCGGTCATTTTCCGGACCCTGTGTGAACGCGGGATGCCTTGTGCACTTGATTGCCCTTTTTTGTTGTAATATCAGATTAATCCAAAACGAAGAATTAACCCAAATAGTTACTCAGTCAATTGCTTAAATTAAAAATTATTGATAAACGTATAATATAGATGTTTAATCGATGTATATTACGTATATAACCATGTATAATCAATATATAATCTATGATACCGTCTATCAAAAGTAAACAATGAATTTGACTGGCTGTGTTTGTGTAAAGATTCTTTAATGAATAGATACAACATTTATGTGTTTTGAAGATTCATCATAAATAGACTAGTTTTATACTAGCTATTAATCTATTGTAATCTTCATCCTTTATTAGAGCTTCGGACCAGTAATATTGGAGCCGCTTTCCATGAATGATGGTCAATTTAATCTCTTTTACCCGAAAGTTACAATGTGTATAGATTAATTTTATTTTATGTATATATATTAATTGTTGAACCTTATCATTAGCATAAGAAAAATAAGATTCTAGCGTAGTTATAAAAGGGGTTCAGAAAATATTTTAAGTCATAGATTCGACTCCTAGTTGTGACATTTCTTAAACATATTTTGAATCACTTGATTTTCAATCTTGCCTCCTGCGACGCTACTTGCAATCGGCAATGTGAGCAATCACACACAAGCTGAATATCGAATAAATAAATAAAAGTAGGAAAAAGGTTAAAAATAATTTTTCTATGTGAAAGATCATCAATTTTGAAGCTTCTAATTTATTTTTTGTTGATTTATCTTTGAATTATAGTTGAGCAACTACTCTAGCCTAGATGGAGCTTTATTTTGCAAGCCACATTTTGAACAGCTACTCAAGGAGAAAGGAAGTGCCTCTTTTAAGTCCACATCACGTTAGTTTTTTCAAATTTTTTTAACATTTTTTATTTTTATTATTTTCCTCAACTAATTATTTGTTTTTTTTATATCAATGTGCAGTTGGGAGGAACAATGACCTGGTATGTATCTTATGCGTACCTTAACAATTATCTCGTCTATCCTAATTTATGTGACACTTTTCGTTTTTTGAGATTCAAATTATGTGAACTTTGATCAATATTTTAAATATTTTTTATTATTTATATCAGAATAATTGTAATTTATAGTATTCTTTGTATAGTTTTTAAATATTTAAATTCTAATCTTAAAATACCTAGTCCAATTTAACTTTGAAAATTCGTCAAGTTATTGACTCTCCATATGTGAAAAGTACTACATAAATTGGGAGTATTTTTTTATTTGTAAAAGAAAAAAGTTAATAATATGTCATGTACTTACTGATATTTGTTAAAAAGTTAATAATTTACTGATATATACTAATTTTATATATATTAAGAATGTTTGAGTTTCATCTTTATATATTGTTGTGATTACAGAACAGATGCCCTAGCAAATTGTCCTCTCTATTTTCCGGCACTCAAGAAAAATGTGCAGCATGCAAGAAAACTGTGTACCCATTGGAAAAGGTAAGGAATTTTTCTGTAATATGTTATAAAACTAAATAATTACGTAACAAATAGAGATGGCTCATAAATATCAATCTACTTGTTGGACCTAGAACCATCCAACCCATTTATTCCATAAGATGTGTTTCATTTGGGAAGGTGAACTAGATTCGTTCCATCATCCCCTTATTACTGACATGCTATGGGTTGTCTTGCGAAGATCTTCTATCCGAACTTTCGTATTTACTCTCTCTTAGAGGATAAATTACGCCTTCGCTATCACAAGAATATAGCGATCGAAGAGCTATGGCTCAGCTGCTTCGCATATTACACCGTATTGCCCGAAAGGGCATGCTGTAAGAGCGTAGGTGAGTGATAAGCGTAGGAGGCATTCCCGAAAGGCAGCATTCCAGAAAGCTTATGTTTATTATACAACACAGGGCAGATTAAACAAAAACATTTCTCACTCATTCTTTCATCTCTTAGCTCTTTGATATTGGTAAAGAGCTCTCTTTCTTCTCGCCGACATGATTGTTGTGACACACTTCTTCCACGATCAAGGGGTGTGCTATAGATTGAACACCTTTACTTTTAATTAGAGTTTAGAGTTCGAACCGTGAGAATAAAGAAACCTCTAGAGGTAATATTTTACTCTTAAATGGGTTTTGCATGGCGTAAATCTTAATTAGTCGGGACCAATAGATATTGAATACCATATGGTCAATTATACCAACCAAAAAAAAGAGAGAGCGTTCTTTCTTCTCATTCTTAATTAAATAAAAGTAAAAAGGATAGAGTTTTAACAGATCACTTTCACAAGAGTATTATTTTTTTCATCTTTAACATTTAATTAAAATACTCTAAAGATTTTAATCAAAATACATATATGATTCAAAAAACAGGTGACAGTAGATGGAGAATTTTACCACCAATCTTGCTTCAAGTGTGCACATGGTGGATGCAAACTTACAACATCATCATATGCAGCATTAGATGGACTTCTCTATTGCAAACCTCATTTCTCTCAATTATTCAAAGAAAAGGGTTCCTATAATCATCTTACAACAACTACAAACAAAAAAAATAGTGGATCAAATGATGAACAAGAAATCTCTACTACTACTGAAGCTGAACCACAGGCTGCAGAAGAGACTCAAGATTAGTCATAATTATGAAAATAGTGTTGTTAATTATTGTCAATGAGACTAATTATCTTGAGGAGAACACGCGATTATATTGGTTTTCTTATTTGTTTTCTTCTTTAATTTTGTAAAGCCTGTTAAGGCACCATATATATTTGTATGCTTTTTCTCAGTTTTGCTTTAATAAGAAATCCATTATTTGTTTTACTTTTTTTTGTTTAACTAACCGATAAAGGCATAGTTCAGTGGCTATGTCGATTCAAAACCTTATCTATTAGAAATATTCTTTCTATCTATATAAGGTAGGGATAAGATCAGTGTATACACTATTCTCTCCAAGCCCTACTATTAAAATTATACTGAGTATATTATTGTTATTGTTGTTGTTAACCGATAATCTAAATTTGCATAGGTTAGGCCCACTAAGTGTATAAGGAATTTCATACTAGAAGGTTCTCAATTTTTAGAAAGCTCGAACCTAATACATATAGTTAATAAATATGAGAGATTCAAGATTAGTTGTAATGAATATTTAATATTGCTATATAATGAGACTAATCATTTTGAGGAAAACATGCAGAATATAAATTAGTGGTTTTCTTATTTCTTCATTTGCAATTTTATAAAGCCTATTAAGGCACTATTCTTGATAGAAAAAATTACGCGACACATCAAATATTTATACTATATTTACTATTTGTAGTTATACTTTCAGTAAATTTACTATTCGTATATAGCTATATTTGAATTTGATAGCAAATCCATAAAATAAAAGATTAATTATTTGGAACTGAAACGAAAGAGCAACATGCTCTCGTAGCTCAGTTGGTTAGAGCACTTGCTTAGTTAGCGAAGGTCTTGAGTTCATCTCTAAACAAAAACATTTTATTTTCTTATATTTCTATATTCGCTTAATTAGTTGTATTCGTTGCACGAATGAATATTTTTTTATATAATTTTTTTAAAAACTATCTTCCACAAATTAATACGATTGCGCGAACGAATACTATTCGTTGTAATATATACAAATTAATAACAATTGAATAATAGTTACGAATGATAATTAGATAAACTATAGTTATTGGGCTCTAAACTATAGTGGTTTATGAAACCCCATTTGTTGCCAAGTTTATTAAATAGCCGACCATCCAACCGCTTAAACTAAAAATAAAATATATAATATATGTAAATTATATATAATCAATATATAATCTTTGTACGTGGCTTAAAAAAAAAAAAACGTATATGACCGGTTATTTGTGTAAGGATCTTAACTGTTTTAGCATATAAAATAAAAAGGAATTCACGTGCCAATCACGTGACACCCCTTACGCCAACACCACGAATTCCAGAACTCTCACCATCTCCAACAAAAAATACTTGAGAGAGGATAAACCAAAGGCAAATTCTCACTCTCTACTGGTTACACTTCACAAGTCTCACAATCTCTCGTTCCTCTAAACATCTTTAATATTAGTCAATAATATCTGATGAAATTTACTTTGAATTTTTTTCAAGAATGAACAACCTTACCTTTGACAAAACCTTAACGCCCAACCCCTTCTTGTCAGTTTCATCTTTACACAATTCAAGAATCTCAAAATCCCTTTTCCCCCCAAAAAAATCCAATAAAGCTACTATTTTTCCTTGTAAACATGATAAGTCAAGCTCCCTAACAAATGGGTTCTTATCAAGAACACATTTTTTACCCAAAAAATCCAAGAAAGTTATTGTTTTTGCTTATGATAATGATAATTCAAGCTCAATAACAAGTGGGGTTTTTTCAAGAACTCATCTTTTACCCAGCAAATCCAAGAAAGTTTCTGTTTTTGCTGATAAATATGATAAATGCAGCTCAATTACAAGTGGGGTTTTGTCAAGAACTGGTTTTTATGGCAGAAAGAGCAAGAAAGTTGTTGTTTTTGCTTCTAAAGAGGATGATAGGAGTAGTAATAAGCTTGACCAGTGGGACCAAATGGAGCTCAAATTTGGCAGATTGATTGGAGAAGACCCAAAATTGACCATAGCTAAGGTGGTCTACATTTTACCTTGTTCATTTCAGCAAATTATGTTCTTTATTGGTTTTTGAAATTTTCTTTGTTTAGTTAAGAATATAGGTACTCCCTCCGTTTGTATTAGTTTGACTTGACTCAAATTTTAATAAACAAGAAAGATTTTTGAGGTATGTGATCTTAAATAAGGTATAAAACTTTTGAAACTTGTGATCTAAAATCTGTCATAACATTTGTGTGGCTATAAATCCTTCTTATTAAGGAAATATTGAAATGTGTCAATCTTTTTGAAACAGAATAATAAGGAAATAGTGCCAATCTTTTTAAAATAGAGGGAGTATATAAGATTCGTATAGCCGACCAAAAAGCTAGTTTTGTATTGAGACATACTCTATTCGTTTCAAATTATGTGAACCTATTTGACTGGGCATGAAATTTAAGTAAGAAATGAAGATTTTTATGCTTGTAGTCTTAAATATGCTATAACATTTGTGTGACTATAAGACTGTTGAAATATGTGATCTTAAATATTTCATATCATATGTGCGGCTTAAGGGTAATATGAGAAGTTTAAGTTAGATTGTTTTTAATATTGTGTCATTTATTTTGGAACGGATTGATAAAGATATAGTGTCACATAAACTGAAACGGGTTCATTAGGCTTCTTATTAGTTGGAACTTCCAATTATCTAGCCGACCCAATTAACTAGTTTAGGATTGAAATGTAGTTGATAGTATATATAGTTAAGAGACTTTTGTATTGTTTAATTTAAATATGAGGAGTCGAGTGATTGTTTCTACTTGTGTGCTGAGAATGGAGAGTTTTATCCCCTCTAAAGTTTTAAACCTTGCTCTGTTTACCAACGAAATGAGGATTCTAGAGGAAAGGAGAACTAATCGTGCATCTAGGATTCATGTAGCCGACCCAAAAACTAGTTTAGAATAAAGAAATAGTTGATAGTATATATAGTTAAGAGACTTTTTGAATCAATGCATTTCAAACTTGAGGAGTTATGTTACTTTTCTGCATGTGGTGAGAATGGAGTGTTTTATCCCCTCTAAATTTTTAAACTTTGATTTGGTTACCAACAGAATGTGGATTACTATAGGAAAAGAGAACTACTCTTGTATCTGGAATTGTACTATTACAGATTGTAAGTTGATATCTGCTAATATATTGTGAGTTTCTTAGTATTGACCTATCTGTAACTTAAGTTCCAAAATTTCAGTCTCTCATGCCAAAGTTATATGCTTCTGCGTTACTATTGTAATATATTCGTATTTTGCTGATTGCATAGAGTTATCAGCGCATAAATGCAGGGTAAGGCTGCGTACAATAGACCCTTGTGGTCCGGCCCTTCCCGGACCCCGCATAGCGGGAGCTTAGTGCACCGGCTGCCCTTGTGCATAGAGTTATCAGCATTTGGAAGAGGAAAAAAGTAAAATTTGTGCTAGTAGTAGCATTTTGAATGAATCTCTGGTTCCTGTATGTTTCTTTCTATTTCTGATAGTGATTCTTGATTTCATAGATAGTAAGTAGGAAGACAAACCCGGATGCATCTTATCTTGAAATCGAAGAGTCATTTGAAAAGAAGAAGGGTAAAACATCTGGTGAAATTGTGGAGGTTCCATTTGACGGGTCCAAGGAAAAGAATTCTCTCAATTCATCAAATGGATTAAATTTGGTTCGCCCCGTGCCCAAGAAGGGAGTTAAGTTCGAGGTTGATGATAAACCCCTAAAGACTGAGGGTGATAAACAAAGCCAACCAATTTCAAGGCCTGCAGTAAGTAGGAGAAATAGTGTTCCAAATGTTATGTTGCGGAAACCGCTAGAGACCGTGGGTGATAATAAACAAAGCCAACCAATTTCAGTACCTGCAGTAAGTAGGAAAAGTAGTGTTCCAAATGTTATATTGCGGAAACCATCTTTGTATTCTGAGGATGATGAATCATCGAATTTCAAAATTAGGCCAAACTTGACACTCAAAATGAGCAAAGAACCGAAATCTGAGAAGTTTAGTGATGTTACATTGTTGAAGAAGCCGGAGCCAATGAGGATCAACTCCGTCAGTAGTGAAAACAATGGACAATCGAGCGATAAGTTTAGTGATGCTGCATTGTTGAAGAAGCCGGAGCCGATGACGATGAGTATCAACTCCGACAATAGTGAAAAGAATGGACAATCAAGCGATATCTTACCTGTAGCTAGCGACGACACTACAGATTCTAGTCTAACTGCAGTGTATGCATCAACTAATGAATCCAAAAACAGCTTGCTTCTGAATAAGCCAGAGTCTAGTAATTTAAATCTGAAGATAGATCCAAACCAAGAATCTTCCGAGGATCAGCGTGCTAGTGTTTTGGATGAAAGTACGTCGAATGCTGCTAACGTTTCTTCTGAGCATAAACTTGACCAACCGTTACAAAGTAGCATAAGTAATCCTCTTGAGGAGCAAGGCTCAGAGACAGGTAACCGAATTCTGTTCTTGACAGATACTCGTCTGAAGTGGTAATTTAAGCATCTTAATCTTTTTAAGTTGATTGTTTTTCAAGGATTCCAGCAGACTGAATCTTTGGATGCTGCGCTTCTCGGAAAACCCAAAAGGTACTTGTGGACGTTATTTGCCTTTAGGTACTTTGCTGTTGGATTTTGCTTGATTACTAACTTGTGCTGCTATAGATTAGACCAACCTAAAAAGGCAACATCAAGTGTTAGTCAAGAGGCAATGCGTCGTGTCAAATCAGAGGGCTACGGAAATGCTTCAGAGATTGACAACTTCCTGGCAAAATCACCCATTAAGGTAGATTAATCATTTTTCTTTCTGCATCAGTTCCTTAACTAGGAAAAATGTATTGATAAAAAATAAAAACTGAGTGCTGCAAATACTTACCTGGACACGGTCAATGGGCAATCATGAAGGCCATGGCCTAGGTTGGTGACCTCCATTGCACATTGGAGGGGCGCCCGCCTAAGGTCGGCCCAACTGGCCGAGCCTATGTCATAATTTGTGGCAGCTGGGGCCTGCGTTCCCGCGGCCCCTACATAAACTGAAAAAAAATAAACTGAGTGCTGTAATTTTGTAGGAACACGAGGATAATGACTGGGTAAGAGCTGAAGAGCTTGTTAAGAGTGGAGGAAGAGATGAAGTGGAACTAGTCAGCTGTAGCACCAGAGGCTTTGTTGTAAGTCTACTTACTACCCCAACTCATCATATTAGTTCATTTTTTACTTTTATTTAGTGGCAGGTGCACATCTGCTCTCAACTTTTTTCTTATGGAAACTCGCGGCGTCTTTTTACAGGTATCTTTTGGTTCCTTGATAGGATTTTTGCCATACCGCAATCTAGCAGCGAGGTGGAAATTCTTAGCTTTTGAATCCTGGTTAAGGGAAAAAGGCTTAAATCCATCCCTGTACAAGCAAGGTTTGGGGATCATTGGAGGACATGATGGTTTTGGTAAGGCAGCTTTTCCTGAGGCCGGCCTAGATCTGCAAATTGCTCAAAATGTCGAGGAGATCTCGTCAGAGATGAAACTTGAAGATCTTCTCAGGATTTATGACCAAGAGAAGCTAAAATTCTTATCATCATTTGTTGGTCAGGTGAGGAGAGCATCATTATTTTATGTCAATATTAGTACTCCGAGTTAGACCGTAATTTGTGATCTCTGTCATGTAGAGGGTCAGAGTAAGTGTGGTGTTGGCTGACAGAAATTCCAGAAGGCTAATATTCTCGATAAAGGCGAAAGAAAAGGAAGAATTGGTCGAGAAGAAGAGGATCCTTATGGTAACAACTTTACCTTGTTTAAAACTTGCAATTTTTTTGCTTATTCGTTTTCCAGCTGGCTATTTCTCAAACTTCCGAGCTTCCATAGTATTTGGTATTAGCTTTTCTATGTTAAACTGGTTATGAACATTGTGACTTACTTCAGCAGACCCGACCTGGCTTCTTCTCCTTGTTATATATTGTTCCGAAGAGATATCGAGAAAATAAATAAGCATACTTTTAAATAAAGTTAATCATTGAGAATNAAGGGGTTATTCTCAATAGTTCTAGTTGATTGGGTTTTGAAAGAAGCGGGAACGTATGCAATATTACCTATGTATTTTGGAGAGTAACTGTATGCTAGTATCTCAGTGTTAGTAATTTGGGATCTTGCTCCCACAATGAAGTCACCGAGCTTGTGTTATTTGCATTGCAGGCTAAACTTCAGGTTGGGGACGTGGTAAAATGTTGCATACAAAAAATTACCTACTTCGGGATATTCGTTGAGGTATATCAGTGATGTAGCATGAGCTTCTTATGGAAGACATATGACACTTGGCAGTCACTCCAGTTAACTATTGACTACATCTTAAATTTGCAATATTTTTAATATAGGTTGAAGGAGTACCTGCTCTAATTCACCAGACAGAAGTCTCATGGGACGCCACTTTAGACCCTGTGTCGTACTTTAAAATTGGTCAGGTAGTTGCTTCTCGAAGAATATACGTTACAAAATTGTGTTTCATACCTTCTGTTGTAAAAGTGAAATGAACAAGAAATTTATCTGATGAATATAATTATAGTGTTTTGAGTTGTGAAAACGCGATACTGGCTTAGTTTGTTAATTATGTTGTGCATGTGAATGTATTTACAGGTTAAGCGCATAAAATGTTCTATGATAATTTCAGAGCTAATAGTTTTACAAATATCTTACTTTTATTGTGGAATTTGTTTTTTCTTTTCTGTAGATTGTGGAGGCAAAAGTTCACCAGTTAAACTTTTCACTTGAGCGCATCTTTTTGTCGTTGAAGGAAATAATGGTAATCCATCTGTTTTTCCTGATATTATTAGGGGGTTTTCCTGATATTGTTAGTTAACAGTGATATTTACCGATGCGTTTAAATGTACTTTTTGCAGCCAGATCCGATGATGGAGGCGTTGGAGGCTGTAGTTGGTGATCATGATAATTTGAATGGAAAACTCCAAGCAGCGGAGCAAGATACTGAGGTTTATGTTCTCACCCTTACAATTGAGCAGTTTTATTCCTTTTGCAACTTGATTCAATTTACCGAATACACCTTAGATCAGTACGTCATGGTTGTCCTCGTTTTCAGTTAAAGGGATACTTGTTATCATCTCGAACAATGAATTGCATACATAACTCAACATAGTATAGATGATACTCTTCAGAAAAAAAAAAAGAAATTACTGAATCTGATTGTAAATTGCAATACTTTGTCTATGGCTGATAGTAGAATATTAATGTGATGTCGCCAGTGGCCGGATGTGGAATCACTTATCAAAGAATTACAGCAGTTTGAGGGTATTTCCTCTGTGTCAAAAGGACGGTACTTTATGAGCCCTGGTTTGGCTCCAACATTTCAGGTTACACCTTTACATAAGGCATACACAATAGAACTTAACCATTTTTTATTGTTTTCGGGAGCTTCTAATCGTCTATCTGCTATCAGGTATATATGGCATCCATGTTTGAAAATCAATACAAGTTACTTGCTCGGTCGGGAAATAGGGTACAAGAGGTGAACTTTCTCCTACTTAATTTGCCCCAACTTACATCATAAAGAATGTTTTATTAAACTATTTTCTTCCCTGCAAAAGAAAGATAAAGTTGCAGTTTTGAAATCTATATTGGGATCAAAATGTTTAATTCTCCTGTTCATATCAATCAAGTATTTCTTGGACTTCTTTTCTTAAAGTTCAGAACTGTGAAAAAGTGTAGCCCGGTGCGCTAAGCTCCCGCTATGCGCGGTGTCCGAGGAAGGCCCGAACCACATGGGTCTATTGTACGCAGCCTTACCTTGCATTTCTGCAAGAGGCTGTTTCCACGACTCGAACCCGGGAGTTCACATGGCAGCAACTTTACCAGTTACGCCTCCTTCAAATGTTCAGAATTGTGAAATGCTTCACAAATCCTAATCTTACAATTTCTTGGACCTTATCACCTTGTTTTCCGACTTGTAACTTTATTGCTACCATCTATTCTAAAATATGTGCATAGGTTCTTTTTTATCGTAGTACTCAACGGTTATATATGGGCATTGTTTTGTGCAGGTGATAGTAGAAACATTATTGGGTAAAGAGGAGATGAAATCTGCAATTCAATCTTGTACAAACAAAGTTGAATAATCAATCAAAAAATAATAATACTAAGAAAGTGACCAATCTTTCTATGGAGGCGGCGAACGGATGGTAAGGCAATGAAGCCAAACAAGCAGCTTTTGTAAAATAAGGTGCAGATATAACAGCAGAAGGGGAGAAAAGAAATTACCGAGGTGGTATCCTATTTCGATCACAAATGATATCGGTTTATTGTTTAATCCTTTGATATCAGGTGAGCTGAGTTGAGAGTGGATTCACTATAATTTTGGTTATTTTTCCTTTATCTTGTTTGTTGATATATATTTTTCTTTTTCTGATGAGTTAGGAGCTTATGTAAGGTCTATGGCATACTTAATGTTTACCAAATTGAGGTGCTTTCTGTTATGGCAAAAGAAGGGAATGATTAGGAACTATATATGGCCATCTACATACCTCACCAAGTTATGTTAATCAGCTTAAAAGATAATACTTGCAGCAAGGTAGTGTCATTACATGATTCTTTTTGGCCAGAAGTTTGAAATTGTAGGTGGAGTTTTATCATCTGATTGAGAATCCATTCTTGTCCTGACTTTTAGAATCTATGTGATCAAGTACAAACGTCATTGCTTGTGTTGTTGCTTTCTTTTGCATTTTTACTTGTGTTGAAGGTCTATCAGAAACAATCTTTCCATCTTCACAAGGTAGGAGTAAGGTCTGCGTACACACTACTTTTCTCAGACCCCACTTGTGAGATTTCAGTTGTTGTTGTTATTGTTATTGTTCTCGGGTACGAAACCTTTATGATATCTAGGTGCATGCATGCTTTTGTGTTTTCAAGTGGTCATAGTATGTGGCATTTTAGTAGTATTGAATATCGAATTATCCTTTAGCATATATAAAAGCTCATTTATAATCTTGTTTTGTAAGAGCAGAACTTTCTATATTAGTAGTGTGTTCTATGTCTCTCTCTCTCTCTTTCTTTCATCTTCTCTTTGTGCCTTGTGATATTATATAGAGTGCCATCTTATATTCCAACAGTTTTTCCATAATTAGAGTTGTTTCTTTTACTATTGTGTTATTGTTACTATTTGCTGCTACTGCTTCTTTTTTATCTTTCCTTGAGCCGAGGGTTTATCGGAAACAACTTTTCTATCCTCACAAGGTAAGGGTAAAGTTTACGTACACTCTATTCTCCTCAGACCAAACTTGTGGGATTGTTGAGTTTTTTGTTGTTGTTCAGAGGTTAGCACTCATTGACCGAGATTACACTCACCTAGTACAAGCTTACGTTGGATATTATGGAGTTTAGTGTTTTGTTAGATTTAATTGGGTAGTGCATATAGAAATTTGCCTTTTTTTCTGTGAATTATTGCATCTTTTAATGCTCATCGATCATTATTTCCTCCTAAAATTCTAATACTAGTATTTTGTTGAAATGCATTTTGACTTTTCATCCTTTTGTCATTCTATAGTTATTATTATAACGTCCACCCATGGCTATTCACCCATGGCTATTCATTTAGTATATGTAGATCCAGAATTTGAACATCATGGTTTCGAGCTCGAAATTCTGCCACGAACCTATTGAGTTAAGGAGTTTGCCATCTATTATTTTTACTTATTTAGTGAATTTCTTAATATATATACAAATTTTGAGTCAAATCTATATGAATAGTGACCTCCTACATCTGCCCTTGACGTTCTAATACTCAACATTTCTCAACTTGTAGAAACATTCAAGATATCACTAGAACATTTCTCAACTTGTAGAAAAATTCAAGAAATCACGTGTTTGGTATGAAGGAAAATATTTTTTGAAAAATATTTTTTAATTTTTTTATGTTTGGTTGGCTTAAATGTTTTGGAAAATATTTTCCTCATCAACTCATTTTCTTCCGATTGGAGGAAAATGTTTTCCCTATCAAGAGAAGGAAAAATATTTTTCAAAACTCTTTTTCAACCTTCTCCACCCTATTTTCCATCCCCACTACCCCACCCTATCCCTGAAAGATAGACGTCTCTGTACCGATCCTTCAGACTCTACAAAGTTTGCTCGTGACTCATGAGACCTAAGTAACCTAGTGCTCTGATACCAACTTGTCACGATCCGAAATTCCCACCTTCGGGACCATGATGACGCCTAACATTTCACTTGCTAGGCAAGCCAACGTTAGAATAATTTAAATCATTTTTAGCAATTCATTTTAGTTAAATAATAAAGAAACCAACAACCGGAATAATATCTGAATTTAAATGTGCAAACCAAAAATAATACGATGTCTAAATACCATCTTAGAACAGGAGTCACAAGTGCACGAGCTTCTAGAATAATACAAACAAGGGTCTGAATAAAATAAAGCTATCTGAAAGAAAGACACAGCTAAGATAAAGTAGAAGGGGACTTCAGAGCTGCGAACGTCGTGCAGCTATACCTCAAGTCTCCTCTGATAGCTGAATCCGAGCAAATCTACAGTACACCGCGGGGACCAACTCTAGTATCTGCATAAGAAGTGCATAGTGTAGTATGAGTACAACTGACCCCATGTACTCTGTAAGTGCCGAGCCTAACCTCGACGAAGTAGTGACGAGGCTAAGGCAGGTCGCTTACATTAACCTGTACGCAATAACAATAATGATTACAGGAATAAAGGTCAGACAAGTAAATCAAATCGATAACTGAAGTCAATTCAACAGTTATAATTAATTATTTCTTTTATCATTCGGTTGCGGCGTGCAACTCTTTCCCACAATATAATCCTTCAATTAATTTTCGTTGCGGCGTGCAACTCTTTCCCACAATATAATCCTTCAATTAATTTTCGTTGCGGCGTGCAACCCGCTCCAACAATATAAACTTAGAATAAAATCTGTTGCGGTGTGAAACCCGATCCAACAATATAATCTTCCAATTAAATTCCGTTGCGGCGTGCAACCCGCTCCAATAATATAAACTTAAAGTAAAATCCGTTGCGGCGTGCAACCCGATCCAATAATATAATTTAACTATTAAATATAAAAATACTCCAATAAATATCACATTTAATAAGAAATCGCAATGCATACAATGATTATGATTTATTTAGGAAACAAGTAATGACAAGTAACAATTAATTGTGGAAATCAGGGAGAAAATAAACAATTTAGTATTTAATATGCTAAATGTCAAGTAGCAATTAAGACACATAAGTCAAATAAGCATGTAACAATTATAGCATGAATTCAAGACATAATGTTGGACAAGGAATATGAGAGAATTAATTAGTAGAATAATTAATTCATGATTTAAAATAATTTATAATTTCAGATAAATATGCAAACAATCAATTTGACGACGTATAGGCACTCGTCACCTCGCCTATACGTCGTTACACATGGAATTCACGTAACAAATAATTCAAGGGTTCTATTCCCTAAAGTCAAGGCTAACCATGACACTTACCTCGTTTCGCAATTTCAAGTGATCACTCGACCACAACTTTTTCTTTCGAATTAGTCTCCAAACCAATCAAACCTATCAAATTATTGGCCAACAATTCAATTGGAGCTTTAGAAATTATTCATAATTCGAAAGAGACTTAATTTAAGTCATTTTCGGAAAAGTCAATCAAAAGTCAAGGTGGGTCCTACTTTTCGGAACCCGATAAAAAATCACGGAATCAGGACGCCCGTTCCGATACGAGTTCAACCATTCTAAATTTATCAAATTGCGACATCAGATTGTCTTTCAAATCCTAAATTTTCATTTTTTGGAAAGTTTTATAAAAATTTCAATTTCTTCCATCTAAATCCCAAATAAACGATGAATATAAACATGGATTTATGAAATATAATCACTTTCGGATATAGAACACTTACCCAAGTCGAAGTCGTGAAAAATTCCTTTGGAATCGCCCAAATTCGAGACTCAAAACTCAAAAATGAGTAAAAATGGCTAACACCCGATTTTATATATTCTGTCCAGCATTTTCGCATCTGCGAGCTTGCATTGCGAGAGAAAGCTCGCATTTGCAGAACAGGGCATCCAAGCAGAAGACCGCATCTACGGACCTTCACGTCGCAGAAGCGCGAAGGAAGCCGTAGAAGCGAGAAAGATTGCATATGCGATCATGGCACTGCAGAAGCGGGCATCACACCTGCGTCCCAAGCTTCGCAGAAGCGAAGCTTCTCCCCTGGCCTCAAAGTTGCAAAAGCGACACTGCCTCCGCAGAAGCGATCACGCACCTGCGGCCAAAATTGCGCAGGTGCGACACACCAGAACCATACTTGTGTTCTTGAACAAAAATGGTTTGAAACTCGCCCGAAACTTACCCGAGCCTCTCGGGACCTCGTCCGAATATTCCAACAAGTCTCGTAACATAATACGGACTTACTCAGGATCTCAAATCACGTCAAATAACGTCGAAATTACAATTCATACCCCGATTCGGACTTATGAGTTTTCAAACTTTTCACTTTACAAAAACCGTGCCGAAACGTATTAAATGAATTCAGAATGATTTCAAATTTGTCGCACAAGTCATAAATGACATAACAGAGCTATTCCAATTCTTGGAATCTCAATCCTAGTTCGATATCAATAAAAGTCAATTTGTGGTCAAACTTTGAAATCTTTAAACTTTCAAACTTATAATTTTCAATAAATGGCGATAACTCAAGCTAGGGACCTCCAAATTAAATTTCGGGCATACGCCCAAATCCCAAATTACGATACGGACCTACCGAAATCGTTAAAATACTGATCTGGGTCCGTTTATTCAAAACGTTGACCGAAATCAACTCAAATGAGTTTTGAAGCTCCATTTCACATTTTAATCAATTTTTCACATAAAAAATTTCTAGATAAATTTACGGACTGCGCACGCAAGTCGAAAAATTCTGAAAGGTACTATTCGAGTTTTCAGAACATAGAAATAAATGTTTAAAATTAAAGATGACATATTGGGTCATCACAATGATATAAAAAGTATTTTTTTCATTTTAACAAAAAAAAAAATACTTTCTAGAAAAAATATTTTCTTTCATTTCAACAAAATGAGTATTTTCTTTCCATGATGTAGAAAAAGTATTTTCTTTCCATGACATATAAAAAGTATTTTTTTTATTTCAACAAAATTACTATTTTCTTTTCATGTAAAAAAAGTATTTTCTTTTATTTCAATAAAATGATTACTTTATTTTCATATTGTAGAAAGAGTACTTTCTTTTTCAACCAAAAAAAGTAGTTTCTTTATAGTTATGGAGCATAAATTTCAACGTTGTTTTGCGTAAAAAAATAAAGCAACACATTAGTTCCTTTGGGTTTGTGTAATTTTTTAGAAGAATAATTAAATTGTTGAAGAAAATAGAGTCTTGAAAACGTTGGGTATTTGAGGTGGGGGTGGGGGGAGCAAGGAAACATAGGGACTTGGGGGAAGGGGGTGAGGAGAGTAGCATAAAAAAATATTTTCTACATTCTAACCAAACACTAGAAAATATTTTTCGGAAAAAGTTTTCCACTCACCAACCAAACAAAGAAAAATAAGTGATAAAATCACTCATTTTCTTGGAAAATAGTTTTCATGAAAAATATTTTCCTTCGTACCAAATACACCCTTAGTGAGAGATTATATTCATTGCAATTCTCTTTCTTAATATGTTTCATGTTTTCAAAAGAAATGACCTCAATTTTACAAAGAATAACGGAAAATACATCTCATTGTTATCTGCCAAAAAAATAGGAAGTGGAAACAAAATTGAAATGGCTTCGCCCGGACTCGAACCGGAGACCTTCAGTGTGTTAGACTGACGTGATAACCAGCTACACCACGAAACCTATTTGTTACAAGTTGTCCTTTTCTCTCTCTTATAACAGATACAATCTTTAAATATTTACATTTATGTGTTGCTTAATAATTAGTGCTTACTCTATTCCAATATGAAAGAAATAAAAAAATTGACATTTTAATTTTAAATATACCATATGGTATGTGTAGCTATAATTTTTTTGAAACTTGTAGCCTTAAACGTCCTAACATTTTACATTTATGTGGCAATAAAAATTTTTCGTAAAGGGTAACATCGGAAGTGTAAAATTAATTGTTTTCAAATATAGAGGTGTATCATTCTTTTTTGAGGTAGACTAATTTAGAAAATAATATCACATAAACTGAAACGGAGCGATAGCCCAAAAAAAAAAAATAATGAAGAAAGAATTTAAAAAGATAAAAGAGGGTCTTCTCTAGATTAGGACTATAAATTGCAGGAAACAATCAAGAACATTTGAAATTTTGAATGCAACTTTTTAGCTGCCACAACTACTAAATTTATATTTGTCTATTGACCAGTTACCATTTCTTTATTTTGGATTGTAATTAGAAGTCAAATAATGGACACAGAGGTCTACAATTGGAAAGAAGAAATTGAGTATTTAATATGTGAAGATTGTTCTTCTCCACTTATTTTAATTAAAATGACATTTAAAATGTTAGGAATGTTATAACTGAGATTTAAACTTGTAATCTGAAGCCATCTTTGAACCATTTTTACCACTATACACAAGATGTCTTTCTTGTATTAGCGGATTCAACTATTTATGTATCTAAATAATTTTGGTTTATATAGAGGTGACGACGTGACACTTCTCCTAGGTCAGGAGATGTTATTTACCTTGTACTTCCTTCGTTTAAAAAAGAATGAACCAATTACTATTTTGGGAGTCAAACAAGATTTTCTTTGACCATATTTTTTGTAAATAGTTTTAAAATTTTTTGGATTGTTAACTATAGTAACTTATAGTATTTTTTTATTTAGTTTCTAAATATGTATATTTTATTTTTAAAAACTTAAAGAATCTATGTCCGAATTCACATCGAAATATAATCAATTTGACGATCGTAATCCGAAAAAGTTCAAACAAACATGTTATTAGATTTTTGCCTTTTTTCTCTTCTTCCCTTTCATCCCATTTAATCTCTTTCAGTTTTTACATAAAGTTTCAGTTATGTATTCAGTAAATACTAATTTTGAAACTATTTGACATACATTGCTGACTTATACAAATTTATGAATTCAACAGTAAACAAAACATGCAGTTAGCTGAGAGATTACATCCTTTATAGCTAAATGATCAAAACCAGACATAAAGTGATTCACATCAGTTCAGTAATTATACAGTCAGACCTCTCTATAACAACATCCCTATATAACAATACTTCTCTATAAAAGTCAAGCTTTTCTCAGAGCCAATTTTTATGTTATGTTATAATATATGTTGTCTATAACATCACTTTGCTATAACATCCAAAAATATTCGGAACAAACGAGGATGTTATAGAGAGGTTTGACTGTATTTCTAATACAAAGGAAAATGCAGGTTCAGAACATTAAACATTCAGAACTAGATACACATATGTTAGCTTGCTAAACACTTTTGAAACTCAAACTGCAAACTTGAACTTGAATCATCTTAATATATGTGCAAAAAACCACGGCTAAACTCATCCGAATCTCCTCTAACAGGCATTCCATGTCTGTCCAATCGACCAGAAACCGGATACACGCCTTTGCTAGTGAAGTTGGTACAAAAATTTGAACCATTTTGCAAGTTAGATCTTGAGTACCTCTTATCACACTGAGGTCTTAGTTTTGGTGCACTCATTGATCGCGTCTTTGCCTTAGCTGCCTCGGTATAAGACATGTAGTTTGGATGATTGCTCGAGTATTCACTCGAGCAATCTGTACTCTTAGTTGGTGTAAATGGTGCTCGCCTCAAACGAGCACATTTAGATGAGGTCGAAAGAAGTTGTGGGCTATTATCAGCAGAGGAAAACCAGGTTTCATCCAAGCTATAACTTAATTGGTCTGAATTCAAGCTAAGATCAGAGGAATAGAAGAGATTCCTATGTGTGGAAGTAATATATGATTTTCCACTATTTATATCAAGGATTTTGCCAATATCATCAATTGAGCCAGTTCTTGCAAAAGAGCCTTGTTTTTTATCCATTCTGCAGCCCATGTTGTTTGAAGAATTCCTCTGCAATAATACCATTTTATGTTAGGAATAAGTCTATGCAAATAGATAATGGGAAAACATCCAAATTTACCTCTCTAGCATGTGAAATACAACGAGGACGACAACAACAATAACAATATACCCAGTATATTCTCAGAGTGTTGGGGTCCGGGGAGGCCAATGTATATGCAGACCTTACCCTTACCTCGCGGGGATAAAAAAGGTTGTTTCTGATAGATTCTCGGCTCACGAGAAGCAATTCACATCAGGTCTCTAGCATATGAAATATTTTAATTTTATCTGCCGTTATATTTTATGGTCATTCATATCCTTGTCATTAGCAAGTCGTCTCGTACTTGCCCTTGACCGTAACAAGGCTCTATGATGGATTGGTTGGATTCCACGTATCAAAATATATCAGGAAAAAGGTCTGAACTTATCTCTCTAGCCGTTACTCTAGTCTAAAGTTATCTTCCATTATACTTCAGGTTGGAACTCCGTAAGGATGAAGGACAAATACGAGGCGATTTACTACTAACAACAGTATGAACGACATCAAAGTATAACGGAGGGTAAAAAGAGATATTTTCGACTGTTTTCCTTAGATAATGAGTTTCCTGAAGTATAAAATATGCAACCAATACCTTGAGCATAAACATTTGATCATTCTTCATGCTCCTTGCGCGAATAACATGATCGAATTTATCAGGAGTTGCAGGACCCTATACACCAAGATTCAAAAATACAATTATTAAACCAAGACAAAATCTTTGTAAAACTAAAAATTTACCTCAATTAGTTGACAGTTACTACAACTTGTTACTAATTAACTTATTTTCAAATTTAAAAATCGAGGGAAAGGTGAAATTTTACTTACCTGATGAAAAAAATGAATAGACTTGGTGCTAAAATGAGGCGATTCAGAAACCTGAGATCGTCCAGCACGAGCTCTCGACTGAGCTCTTATCAATGCCTGCATACGCCTTAGCATATCAGCAGTTTGTTTCCTCACAATATGACCTCTTACTAATGCTTGAAGCTTCACAAGTCCCTTCAATGCCCTTAATGCTCTCTTTGACTTCAAAATTTACCCATAAAATAGAAAATCAGTAAACTAGCTAGTCGTATAATCAAGTGTCATTTACTACAACGGCGGATACAGAATCTAGAGTCAGTGAGTTTAGAATGAGTATGATTGTATTATTTTATACACATTTTAGTGTTTTCTACATAAGTGTACATGTAGTTTGAGCAAAAAGGCGAAAGCAATGAGTTTAGTTAAACATCTCGCTATATTCTTGCGATAGCGAAGGCGTGGTTCATCCTCTAAGAGAGTAGATGCAATGCGAAGGTTCGGATCGAAGATCTGCGCGAGACAGCCCGGGGCACCATAGCATGTCGGGAATAAAGGGTCCAACACTGGTGCAATATGAAAGAGTCCTTTAGAATTCCTTAGAATACGAATGAGATCAAAAAGGCTCTGCCGAGGCTCGAGTAGAAGAAGGGGTACTTGAACAGAATACGAGCTATTGCTAATACCCGAGGCATAAAAGAAGCATTTTCTACGGAATCCCAAGAAATCGTTTAGGTTCGCCTATGCACAAGTGACTTAGTGTAATGTGATATCTAGTGATATTAATTCAGGTATCAGGTTGTATCAAGAGAAAACACTAAATTACTGTAAGAAATTGAGTTGTGTTATGTTTAGTTAAATATAAAGAAACTGTTCTAGGTCCGCCTCTGCATATAGACAATTTTAACTGTTTGGGACCGAGACATAATTATTAATATTATAGATAAATAATTTTTTGTGGACCTGTGCACAAAAAACGTAGAATTTTTTCAAAAGTGATAGGTGCCCTAAACATACATTTTCACACCCCTTAAAAGTCTAAGTTTGAAGTTTTCAGAAAATTAGGACATTGACCATATTTTTGTATTATCAACTTGGGACATGCATAAAGGTAATTCTTTATATTCAAATTCAGCAACGTGGTCCATTAAACTTTTCCCTTAGGGCAAACAAATTATAATCTTAATCTTAACCACCTAAAAAATAGCCCTAGTAATTGATAGTTATATAAGAGAAATGAAAATTACACTTTAATCAAACATAATACATCAGGAAAAATATTAATTCACACTCGATATTTACACTAGACCAATGAATAATGGTGGATAAGTTTTTTCCATGCTTCTCTGCTTTCGGTAAATGTTGCTGCTAGTAACAGTACTTGCCAAAATGCATAAATGTATGCGAAATACTAACAAAGAAAAGATAAAGAAAGTATAATCTTAAATTTATTGATAGTGTAAACGGATTTACACGATCAGTGCAATTAATTCTGCTGTAGAAAATTATTTGTTTTCAATTATTTTGTGCACAACTCAACTATTTTGTTGAATTGTAATAGGTATGTATCTCTGTAAACTATTTCAATGTCACGATTTGAATCATAATCTATCACGATTTTCATTTCATTTCATTGACACTTAAGCCATTCTGTTTGCATTAACATATGTGCGACGACATAATAGTTTTCGACTACAAATTGTAAATTATTTTTGTAAAAGCAAAGTTGTCACTAATTTATATATTTGGGGACGAAATATCTAAATAATTTTTGTACATAAAAGGTAGTGTTTAGTAATGAAATAATGTTAATTTAACTACAAAATACATATAACTTTAAAGACAATTGACGTCATCACTAATTAAACTAAATACTTAATGCGGCATTGATTGTCTTTTTAGTGACAAAAATATGTTATTAGCGACAAATATTTTATTCTTTTTTTGACGAACAAATTCGTCACAAATACTAGGCATTTGGGAACGAAAAATAATTTCGTCACTAATATAACTTGATTTAGCGACGAACCACAAAAGTGTCTTTGTATACTTTTAGTGACAGTGTTTTCGGGACGAAAAATTGACAAATTATTTTTTGGACGAAATATGACTTTTAAGTGACAAAATAATTTGTCAACAAAAATCAAATTTGTTGTAGTGACACTAATTTGTTACATAGGAAATGACCATGTGGAGTAATTAATTGCCCCTTTCATGAAGACTAGTAAAACGTCCAACATCTTGGTACCGATAGTAACAAAATTTTCTACGCAGTTTTCACCGTCCTTTACAGATTACGAGTAAATAGTTCCTATCAAGAATTATTCGTCGAATTATCAAGATGAAAAAGTAAAAAAAAGTGTATTACTCTCTTCATCCCATTTTATATTCAAGGCGTACGAGACTCAAATTATCTTATTTTTAGTGTAATTCGAATATAAATTTTTTAAAATAAAATTTATGTATTTTAAAATTACAAAAAAATACTTTAAGAAAATTATAAATTTTGACATAAATAAAACCAAAAAATATATTTTATAACTAACCAGATAAGCTCGGAAATGTGACTGTATCACGACGGCAGCCCATTCTTCACGACCAAAAACGACACCGTTCCATGTTGTCACCGCTTTTGTACCACCGCTACTAGCCGTCAGCCCCACCACCTCTTCTACCGTGACGGGGCTGTTGGTTGGGTTCACTGCACAATTTAACTAGTAAGGGATAGTCCATGCTGCGCATGAGCCCAATAATACTATTACCTAAATATTAGTGCCGTAAAGGATACTAAAGTTATTCTTAAAATACCTAAAGTCATTAAAAATTATAATTTCATTGGTCCCAACTATTATTTGAAAATTAAACTTTAAAAAGAACTTGTTTGATGATAATGTTGTGTGTGAATTAGCAGGAGTTATAAAATTTTCATTTAACGTATAAGTATTAACAATCTTCTTTTATTGCAATTTCAAGTTATCTAATGCAACTACAATTAGGTTCACATTTAGTATTATCTCATATCAAAAATAAAATTATTTTTAAAATATTTGTAAGCTCATTAAGGAAATCATATAAAATATTTATTTATTTGATTAATTTATGCTTTATATCATAGTCAAATTACTCATTATATTCTGTAGGTAATTTATTAGATCGAAAATAGATTTGAAAAAACATACTAATATTATTTTAATTTCCCAAAGCAACATTTATTTTGGCCAAATATATTTAGCTAAAATGACATTTATTTTTTTAGGGAAGGGGATATAACCTAATTAAAATTATTTACATGTGAAATAAGGAAAATAACATTATAGAAGAGGAGGACTATTGTTTTTCGGTTTTACATCAAATTGAAATCTATTTTACTCGCAAAAATTGTTTACTCAAAGAAGGATTTTAATGTTATTTTTATAAGATTATAGAGATGCATATACTAAAGTTAGATGATTTTAGCTTCAATTATTGATTATGAAATTTCATACTACTACTACTTTATAGGAAACAAAACTCTTAAAATTTGCAAGAGGAGAAGAAATTTACGTTTAAAAAGATATTTTTTGAGAGCATAGGTGTCCAACTAATTATTTGTACAAATATTAACTACACAATTTAAGTTAATACAGATCAATTAAAGTATATTCTTTGTGTGTGAAATTTATGAGATTAATACCGTATAAAGTACCACTTATTAGCCCATGGAATTTGTTTTTGCATATTCCTAGTCTCTTCTTGGGATATTCAAAATATTTTACTCCTACCATATTTTCTTAAACTTTGATTTTTGAACTTACCATCTTGATTTTCCTTTTGTTATCCAACTAATAAATACTCAAGAGAAGATAAATTCAACAACAGAAGTCTAGTTTATATATATATATATCATATTCTTTTTCAAACGAACTAATAAGAAAATAACGTCACATAAAATAATTCAAAGAAAGTATGTTTATAATCACCGAAATATTACAAAAAATATTAAATTCTGAACTCATAATTGTATAAATGTATAAAGGTTGAACTTACCAAATTTAAATCTTGAATCCGTCTCCGCTACTACAACATCAGTACTTCTACCGCGAACTGATGTGAAGACACTATATTGATCATAGTGGGGCTGCTGAAAATCATTATCTCTGTAGGATTTAAAGTTACTGCATTTCTTTTTAGTGGTTAGTGATGGGTTTAGACTTGGGTTTTTGTGTAACGACGACGACGAAGAAGAAGAAGAGTCAGTTTTCTTGAACCCGAGAAGTTCTTTGAACCATTTGGATGCTTTGCCCATATTGTGTTTTTCTTCTTTTGTTAATGACAGAAACTTCAAACTAAAGATGGAAATTTAAAGAGATTCATTACATATAATTAAAGAGATTAATCTTGACGATTCAATTACATATTGTGGGATTAATAGAAAGAGCATTTGTTTCTATAGAGAAGAGAAAGTGTTGGAATTAGAGAAAGTGAGCAGTGAGAGGAAGAGAAGAAGAAGAAGAAGAAGAGAGTGGTTAAGATTTGTGAAAGTTTGGAGAAGTCAAATATTATGTGCTATCCCATAGGACATTGGGATAATATGTATGACTTCATCTTCTTTGGATCACCAATACTTTATATATTTTGCCCATTAAAAAAAACACTGCTTATGTAGAGGATATTTATATTTTTTTTGTGTTTTTTAATGTGTCATATTTTTCAGGTTTTTAACGGCATATTTTATGAGCGATTATATGTAGTTATAGATAACAATTGATAGAGTAAATATTTATACTATGATCATCATATAGAAGTTTATTATATAGTAGTAGTATTTGTATTATTTTCGGATTTTCTTATTTTTAGTTTTTTATTATTATTTGATATTTCTTTTGCTTTAGTTACCTTATTATTTTGTTATTGTTACTACTTTATGGCTTCTCCACTACTGTATTTCTTTTTTCAAAACTGTTGTGATCATGCTTTCCTTGAGCTGAGGATCTACCGGAAACGATATCTCTATCTTCACAAGGCAAAGGTAAGATTTGTGTACACATTTACCTCCTCAGACCTCATTTGCTGATGACACTTGAAACTGGATATAATATTGTTGTTGTTAGCGTATAGAAATTTAAACTCTAAGGGGTTACTTGGTTCACAGACAAATTATATAGGAATTATTATGCAGAAATTAATAATCACTTAATTATATTATGGATATGCACTTTTTGTTGCATGTTTGGTTTGTCATATCTAAAATTAGATATACAAGGATATTACAAAATAACTGACTTGCCACGTAAATATATCTAGCCTCTGCTTATATCAACAACGAAGGAGAATTGGGCGAATACGTTTTCTTGATTTTGTTTCTTTTCTACTTTTTTTTTTATTATATATATTTATTGGTACGTAATTTTGATGTCTTTTAGTCATCTTGAATTAAGACAATCATACCATTTAGTGTGAGACGAATTCAAAATTTTAATATAATGTCTAATTCGGCCTTTAAAATTCTAGTTATTAGGAAACTTAGCTCAAAGCAACAATATAGAATAAGAAAAACAAGCTAATTAAGAGATATAGAGAGAAAGAGATGAAAGATTCTTATTTCTTCTATGTATTCAAGTCTTACAATGTGATGCGCAAACCCTCTATTTAGAGGAAGATATTTTTTAAGTAATACAAAGGAATGTCATTAACATGGTATTAACTATTGTGATCATGGGGGAATTTAAGCCATAATCAAATATTTCTTACTACCATTTTGCATATCTTGTAGGCTGATATGAGCAAATGAATCTAAAATGCAGATCAACCATTTTGTCATCTTCTACTACATATATAATTTACTTTAGTAAAAGAACAAAAAACTTTCTTGGCAGAAACTTGTAAAAGAGAATGCAAAAATCAATTGTAACACTTGAAATTGTCACGTTATGTACTATATTTTGATATAAATACATGTGAACATATGATAGATATAAAAAGAGTTGTAAGTACTCGTTCATCCTTAGTCAAATGTCTCATGTTTGAGTTTTGGGTATAAACTCGTTTTTGTTAGAGCGAGCTTCATCCTCCTCCTCCCTAATGTGGGACTTCCCAACATGGACGGATTTAGGCTGTTTTTACGATGCACATGAACCCATATTTTTTTTACCAAACTAAATATTTTATGTATATATTTGGTAATATTGATCTAATATTATCTGTTGGCCCTCGTAATTCAAAATGTTGAATGGTGCATCTAGTTGAATGGTGACTTATTTCTTTGAAGGAACATGGATCGGGTCTCACTTGGTACTTCTTCTATTTTCGTTTTTTCAGTGGTGCACTCATGTTCTAAAAATCCTAGATCCGCCTCTGTTTTCTGTCCCGATATCGAACACCTACCGGAAAATCAAAATATATGTNTCATATTTCCACACATTATTTATATTAAACCAATTAGTTTAACCATGATATTCATAATTTAAACTTTAAAGTGTGAATGCATATCATTTAATCATAGATAAGTAAAAAACAGATTATATACAAGACATATGTTATGCTTTCATTTGTTTGGTATAAACATTGGGTGCAGATCCGAAAATTTATCCTCCCATTTGTGGCGGTGCTACAAATTTATATAAGTGATCAAAAAAATACTATAATGTTACATCAAGGATTTGAATTCAGATCACAAAAGTGGAGTTCTCTTTGTTAGGGATGGTTAAAACCTCCCATAATAAGTATTTTATGAAATAAATTTAAATTAATAGGACTAATAAGTTTGAAAAGAAAAACAATTATTAATGGAACTAATAACATTCCACTAATAACATTATTATTATCCAAATTCTACGCTCCCAACCGACATTGAGATTTGGGAGAAAAAAAGAGAAAAGAATATTTATATTCTTAATTGTCTTATTATGAGAATTTTGTTGACTTCATTTGTTTCAATTCTTCTTATTTTCCAAACTAATTAAGGGACACCGACCATTAATAATGAGTCATAAATCATTGCGTAGATTTGTCACATTCATTTTCTTCTTATTTAAAACATGAAGGGTCGTAGCCAGTCAACAATAATGGCCTTAGCCAGTCAACAATTGCTGTGTTCCCTTTCCGAGCAAATCTTCCGTATGCATTTACCACATTTCATATCAAGAATTGTTTGTTGACCTGATTTTTTATTATACATATAGGGTAAGGGAAGGGGTGTTGGATGTGCGAACAAAGTTATGCGTTGGTAGCTAAAAAGATTGAGAGTTTACATATAAGGTGTAGGGATCTTTTAATAGTGTGAGGTCTTTTGGAAAAAACCGTACGAGCTTGGTTTGCAATAGATTAGCAGTCTGCTTAAAATTAATGAAAGACAAACAATTTCTATTATATAAAAATGAAAAGGCAGTCGACCAAGGGTATATATGTCAAATATCAAAAGATTTTATTCAACCAATAAAGATAATTACAGCTCCTTTGGACTAAAGAGCTAAACTCAAAAAAAAAAAAAAAAGAAAAACAATACCAAAATTGTTATTTACATTTCAATAGTCCCTCTACTACTTATACTATCAACTATTCATTGAGGAAAACTATTGACTCCTTCTAATATCTTCTTCCATTTAGTCTTTTGTTGCCCTTTGATATGTAACTGAAGGACAATATCTCGAATTCTTTTTTTGGTATTAGTCTTTTGCCCCTGAAATCTGCGCATATTTCTTTCTGTCCATGTATGATAAACCACGGCTGCAAACAGGAATGCTAATATGCTATTTTGAGGCCTACCATTTTTTGTTCTTGTCGTCAGCCATAAGACTTCCTCTTCCCAAAGTCCAACTAGATATCTCTCTCCCAACCAATTGAGCATTGTACTCCAGATGGTCCTTGAGTATTGACATTCAAAGAAGAAATGGGACATTGTTTCTGTTTTTCATTGTTGCACAATACACATTTATTTGCTACATGTATCCCCCAAGCTGCTAGTCTATCAACAGTGGTAAGTCTGTGATGAAGTGCCAGCCATAGAATGAAGTTATGCCTAGGTATAGTTGAACCCAGTATTAAAGATTTTCAATGAACCTTTGGGTATTGAGGCCTCGCTAATATGTAAGTCTTATTAATATTGAATTGCCCATGCCTACAATAGTTGTTGATGTTGGCAAAGGAGTCTATGCCCAGGTACCAATCTCTTGTATCAAACATTTTCCTTACAAGCCAGCATGTTTGTCTAGGAGCATTCATTGTAGTGAAGTCCTGCTTCTTTATATAAACTGTGTGAATCCATTTTATCCAGAGTGCATCATTTTTTGTATGTATAGCCCACATTAGTTTACAAAGTGCCGCTTTGTTCCACCATAAGAAGTTGATGAGGTTTAGTCCACCAATTGAAGTAGGCATACATATTTTGTCCCAGGAAATCAATGCCCTATTTGAGGGGTTTTGGCTGCTAGTCCATAAGAATATCTTACGCACAGTAGTCACTAGTTGGATGATCTTTTTTGGCATCAGAAATACCTTCCCCCAGTATGTTTGTATTTCAAATAAGACACTCTTTATCAGCTGTAGTCTTCCACTGTAAGAAAGGAACTTTGATGTCCAGCACTTGATTTTGTTGGTTATCTTCTCCACTAATGGCATACATTGCTGGATTGTCAACTTTCTTGATGATAGAGGCACTCCCAAGTATTTGAATGGTAGGGCTTCCATCTTGAACTGATACTCTGCGTTGATCATATCTTTGAATCCCTGATACACTCCAGCTACGTAGATAGAACTCTTGTCTAAATTTGCCATGAGCCCAGACACCTTCGAGAAATGGTTAAACTTATCAAGCAATAGTTGAATGGAAATCTTGTCAGCTCTGCAGCACATTATCAAATCATCTGCAAAGCAGATATGTGTAAGGTTCAGCTTTGCACATCTTGGGTGGAAGTTGAAGTCAGGGATATCTTTAAGAGTCTTTAGAGTTCTATTCAGATACTCCATTACTAGTACAAACAGATAAGGGGACATTGGGTCCCCTTGTCGCAGTCCCTTCCTTGCTTGAAATCTACTAGTGAGTCCACCATTGATCAGCAGAGAATAGCTCATAGTAGTCACACACTCCATTATCCACTGAACCATTTTGTTAGGTATCCCATATTCCAGTAGGACTATATGTAGGAATGGCCATTCAACTGAATCATATGCCTTCCTTATGTCCGCTTTTATAATGCACCTAGGCGAGACTCATTTTTTGTTATATCCCTTTACCAGCTCATGGGAAATAATCACATTATCTAATATGCTTCTCCCTTCTATGAAGGCTGACTATGTTGGTCCTACTATGAAGTCCACCACTGTCTTTAACCTTGTTGTAAGGATCTTGGCAATGAGATTGTATATGGTGGTACAACATGCTATTGGTCGAAATTCTTTTACAAAAGAGGGACTGGACACCTTTGGCACCAATGTAACAGTAGTACTATTGACATTCTTCAGAAGTTTCCCTGTTTTAAAGAATTCCTTGACAGCCTGCTTTTTTCTCCAACAATGTTCCAATATTTCTTGAAGAACTCAGCTGGAAAACCATCAGTACCAGGAGCTTTGTCAC